GAATTTTCCCATTTTTTATTATCTGAACTTCAACAGATAATAAAAAATGGGAAAATTTGGAAAAAATATCTGTAAAAATTTTTGGAAAGTTTCGCAGATAATATATGCAAAATATCACAGATCATCTGCAAAAAATTACTAAAAATGGCAAAGAATAACTGTGAAAATTTATCTGTGCATTGACAGACTTTTGTCCGATTTGGCTTGCCATACTACCAAACTGATCTGACAGATTCAGATAACGGTTGACGGATTATCCACAGGTTGTAATTCCATATTAGCGCACTATTAGCGCCTCATCTTTCAGTTCGTCCTCATAACTTTCATTTTCAACAAATTTATCCAACCAGTATACAAAGAAAACATATGCAACCAGAGAATATGATTTCTGTTTATTTTCCTGAGAATACGGATGAAGATATAATTCATATTTTTGTCTACCCTCCCTTCCCCTGAATAATAATTCCTACATCATGTATTAGCGATATATTCACAATTTTTATGTATTGTTATGCCGGCTTTCGGCAACTTTTTTTATTTTATAAATTTTATTTATTTTTAAATTCCATGTGAACAAAGTCATGATACAAATTACAGGGACAAACTATATGTAAGCCTAAAGTAATTCTAAATTAAATCATGAACCAAACCGCCAAATCTGACAGCACCACCCTGGTGTCAAAAATGATCCTGTGGAGGGAAGTGCTAAGCACATCCCACCCACCACGCACTAGAGTAAAAATGGCTACAGAAACAAAGAAAGTAGAGCAAACAAAAACAAAGGAAAAAAAAAGGCAGTTCTAACATATACAATCTTTCGTATTTTTCTTCCATCTATGACACCACACGTGAATACTGTCATGTGTGGAATGATGCAAATTAAAAGGTCCTTCATTGTTCTGTCTTATCTTCTAAATCGCCAGCCGGAGTAGGTGGGTAGATGATAGTTGCTACCGATTCCACGGCTGATGCATAAGAGTTATCACTAATGGTGGTAATTGAAGCGTCATCAGGAGGTGGTGTTCGTCATAAAAATACAGACGGGTCGTTAATTATGGAACGGTCTTTATCTGACATCACGTAGGTGATGTTATTATCGGGGTTTTCAGGTATAGTGTCAATAATCATCGAAGATAAACGCTTGGTGAAAGTCAGATGCCTTGCGCGTGCTTGGGTATAACCATAGTTGTATTGAGGAATGGAGTTGACGTCGAATTTTTTTATTTCATAAATAAAGTATTATTTTTATCGAACGTATATGAGAAACGGGTCACGTGACATGATGCAAATGCCTGTGCGACATAAAAAACTATATTAACGCCCAGTACTTTCCCAGAAATAAATTTTTAATCTCATAACACTATTTTTTTGTCCGAGCCAAATATCACTATAAAAACGTAACACTGTGTCTGAAACTAGTACACCTTATACTCCAGCTTCCACCTCTACTTCTGTTGCTGGAAATGAGTCGGTCTCGTTGGCGGACGATATTAAAAAATATGACACGGCTAAGCTTATAGATTTTTTGCGTGGGGAAAAAGACTTAGGTCTTGACGACGAAGACTTGGAGATAATTCGCAAGAGGAAAATTAATGGCCGTGCTTTTCTCAAGACGAGCAAGGAAGAATTTGAGCGTTATGGTTTGGAAGGAGGACCCGCGACAAATCTTGCGGACTTCGCTAAGGAGTGTAAGGATAAAAAATTAAAAGCGTTCTCCTCGTACCTCAGTTTGAGTGAGGTGTTAGCGGAATGTGGTCTTGACTCCGATGGTATAGATTCTATCCCGCTCTTTTCTCCCCCAACATATGAAATTCAAGATAGCAATAAAGTTTTCAAGCGTTGCATGGAAGAGATTTTTGGCAGGTTGCGCTACGGAACTTTCAGCCGGATAGTTTGGAGGCCATGCGTAATGAATATGTCATAGCACTTCTTCACGCTTTCATCCATATCGTCATGGATGAAACTAACAAGGAGATTAGCATGCGCCTCAGTATGGAATAATTGGTGAAGAGAGCCGAGGCCGGATCGATTATGCAATCAAGGTATTTAACTTATTTCCCTTTGGGCCACTAACACGGACTATGCAATATGTGAGTAGGAAGCCGAAGACCTTATTTGCATCACGGAGGATAAACAGCATAAAGTTCCCGTGGGTTTCGCACAAAATATCAAACAGCTTCAGAGCGCATGTGAGACGAATAAGAGGAAGAGAAAGAGGGGTGATGATGATTTCGATTATATCTACGGTATTGTCACAACAGGTCGGGATTGGCATTTTCTCCTATATAGCCCTGGAAAAATATCCAAGGCAAGTGATACCGCTTATTCAATCGAATTTACAAAGAAGGCCTTGGACCCGAACTCCGAAGAATACCTGTCATTGCGAAAGGGCGTGAATAAAGTTTTGAGCATAATCGTTGAGTTGTTGAAGGATAGGGCGTGTGTGGATGATGAACCAGAAAGGAAGAAAATTAGGATAGAGAGTTATCGTTCGTCCGAAGGAAAAAATAATTGTGTAGCAGTTATTAGCATAGACATCATGTATCACGGGCTAGGTCCCGAACTTTGTATTTATTTTTGCATGTATTAATAAAAAATTTTTTTCCTGGAAAAAGTAATCTGCGTTCCAAATTGGAACGGACGTGGGAAGCAAAGATAAGCGTTAAAACTGGATAAAGCTACCATATTTCATTTCAGGCAACTCTTCTGAAACTGGGTTTCAATTTTTACTTAAGCATGCCACAGCTTCCGAATTTTCTCTAGTTCTCCGAATTTCGAGCCAACTGCTGTTTCCCAAAATCGGTTGGGAACCAAGACAGTAATACTACAGCTCGATTTTTGGAGCACTAATTTTTTCCGTGTTTTAGTATTTTTGTTATCGTTTCACAATAAAATTAATGAAGCATTTGTGTATCGGAAATAAATCACATACTAGTTTTGGGTAGGCGTAAGCAAAGAAGCAATGGTAGATTTATTTGAAAATTAAATTTACATCAAATTTGAAATATGAGATCGTATTTTTTTTGAATATATAGATAAAGAAAACACAAAATACAAGTAATTCATTCAACGTTTTCTCTTCCTTGAGTTTGACTAGGACTTGCATCATGTTGATTTGCGTATACGTGAGGAGATTGCGAAGGTGCAAAAATCTGGAGTCTTAGGTTTGGATTCGCGTAGAGTTGAAATAACGTTCCTGTTGTCTGCAAAAGATTTTGTTTACTTAGTTTTTGACTTCTGATGTATAAACTCTTCAGATTATAATTACCTGAGTAATCCTTTCCATTTCAGCTTGTACTGTAAGTCTTTTATTTCCTTGATAAAAGTTTCTTCTAATTGATGAATAGCCTTTCTACCATCACCATCTTTAATTTCAATCGTATTTGACCGTCCTTTAGATTAAAGAGTAATTGAAGAACATTAAAAGTTCAGTGATTCATTGAAATTAATTTTTTGCGTGGAAGAAAATGACTATTTTTATTTTTGGGTAAATTTGATTTTAAATAAACTCTATGATAAACTTCTGATAAATTGATGGACAATTTATTGCATTACACAAACACATGATCATAGGGCACAGAATTTTTTTCGGTGATACGGTGCAATCTTATAAGATTTTTATATAAAGTTCGCGGACGGGACGATTACGCGAATTCAATAGTGAATGAACTCTGCAATGGCAACTTCTGGGATTGTAAACTAATACTCATTATTTGTTCTAGGAATTCTGAAGACATTTAGCTTCATGAATGCGAATAACAAATTTTCAGTGTAGGCTTTACTAAGGTTAATGTTGTTGACTGTTGATTTATTTTCTGACATTGCAAATTCATATAGTAAGCAAGACAGAATATCAAAACTCACTTGCTGAAGACGCACTCAACGATCCAACCGAGTTGCGCAAGAATGTGAGTTTGTTAAAGGATAGAGTAACAATTGGTGAAGAACCCACAAGCAAAAAACGCCATATAGAAGAGATATTCAAGAAAAAATAAATGTATAGGATACTATAGCATAGAAAATTTGTCATGTATCACGGGAAAAGTCCCGAACATTTGTATTTATTTTTCGCATGTAATAATAAAAAATTTTTCTTGGCATTTTTCCGTCCCGGAAACTTTTTGGTAATATTTAAAACATTGAACAATTCCTTTCAAATATAAAATTATTATTGATCATGTCAGTCAACAAAGCTAACACATCTGAGCTTGAATTATTGAGACAGCGCATTAGAGAGCTTGAGGCCGAGAATGCTGAAATGCCTGATCTTAGAAGAAAGATCTCAGAGTTTGATGCTGAGAAAACTGAACTTAAGCATAGGATTGCTGAGGCTCTAAAAATGACTGAGGAAGAAAGAACGAGGCGTGATGCTGAGAATGCCAAACACAAGGCCAGAATCGAGGAGTTGGAATCTGAGTTTAGAGATAGAATTATGAAAGTGGAACAGAAGCAGACTCTAAATGATAATTCTTCTAACAACAATTCATCTAACTTCAATTTGGTTGCAGATCAGGTGCCAATGGTAACGATCACGAGAAACCATTGGTGGATACTTCATTACCTGAAGACAAGGAAACGGACGCTTTCTTGGATGAGATGCATAAGAAAAAGGTTAGTAATGAGATTAGGCAGAGAAATTGGGAGTGCCAAACCGATAGAAAGAAACTTCAAACCCAAGAGTCTCTTTTAACACATCCCGAAGAGAAAATGCTTCAAGAGATCAAATGTCCTACCTCTGATCCAGTGATCCATGATCAAAAGAGAGTTACCGGAGGTAGCAGATCACATAAGAAAAAAGGAATAGATGAACTCAAGCACAAATTATTCAGTCCCCTCTGGAATCTGATAGTCCATCCTCTATAAACTATAATAATGTGAATGAAGTTTCTGAGACAGCCTGTTCCGAAAAAGTTACCTATAGCATTGATGAAGTCTCACAACATCTAGCTCAGTTATGTGACAAAGCCATCGATGCCGAAGATAGGGCAAATCAAGCTAATCAGGAAGAAATTTTATGTTGGTGCCTCTACTGGAAGGATTTCAGAGATCAGCTTAATGAAATTATTAGAAGTAATAGTGGTAAATTTGGTGAAAAGAAGGTGAGAAGTATGCTTTATGACACCTTCGCAAAAAAAAAGATCACAAGAATTGGGGCTAAAAGTTAGGGATGTATTATGGGATAGCTTGCGTAAGAAAACTCAGAGAGCTGAAAAAAACTATAAATTATTCGAAAAAGTGGGTCTAGATAAGATCAAGTATAGCGCGAATTCCATTTCAGAGCTTACTGATGCTTAATTTCAAGAGATTATAGATTATGGTATATCTTTGGAAAAGTTGTCTCCAGAAGCTGATCATGTGACCGAAATTTTCGAGACAGCCCATTAGGGTGCGAAATTAATGAATCATAGTTTGGATTACATATGATGATCATGATGATCATTAATTATTTATGGGATCTGCGGAATAATAATTTTGGTTCTAATCATATAGAATTTTTAAATCCTTATTTTTGTATGATAATGTTTACTATTAAACATATACAATAAACTAATAGAAAGATTTTTTGATTTTATATTTTAAATATGAAATTAATTGGCACAATTAATTAGTACAATAATAAATACATATTTAAAATTAAGTTATACCAATTGTAAAGTTAACAAGATTAATTGAAATTATTTGCTTAATCAGAAATAGTGAAAGCTAAAAATAGAGAAAAAACACAATTATAAATTGTTCAAAAAGAGTTAAACTGAAATAATTTTTTTGTCATAGTATATTACAAATCTGCTTAATACCATTGTTGTAACTTACTTTTTTATGTATAGTTGATTATAAAAAAATAATTATATCCTGCATTACTGATAAATATTATTTAAAAATAATTGTATGCAAGAATTAATTATGTATGTAAATGTAGGGATTAATTATTTATGTAAATGCAAGATAAATATTTTTTTTTTTTTGTCGCTGCAGCACATTTATTAATTAATTAAAATAAAATTCATGTCAATACATATACAAATAATACAACATAAATTTAAACTAATTTGGTAATTAATAAACCACTCGTTATTCTATGCACTGTCAGGTGAATTTGGAACTATGAGAGTAAGTCCAATGTGTAATTGTCCTTTCTTAGAGGGAATTCCCCTTCTCCCAGTCTCAGTTCTAGAAAAATTCAGCAAGACCTACTATGATACAACAATAAAAAAAAAGGATTTTAACAAAAAAAATTCAGGGTAAAAAAAAGGTTAATAAAATTTAAACTAGATGGCGAGTGCTCCAATATCCCAAAACTCCAATTTGGCCCAATCCTCCCATCAGTTAGCCAGTGATCTTAGCAACGCCCTAATTTCAGCTAAAATTAAAAGTTTGTCATTGCTGTCAAAGCCTTTATTTTTTGAAGTAGATTGCTTCTTTTTTCCTAAAGACTTCCTCTTCTATTTCTGTCCATCTAAGTCCTTCTGCGAAACATTTGAATTCTTGTTTTGGTTCTGCTTCTGAGTAGAATCTGTCTTTTTTGATGACTTATTTCTAGGCTGATTCAAGGTGGGCAAAAAATATCAAGTCCAAATACCTTTAAATTCTTTGAAGTTGAAATCTGTATTAAATGCTTTATCCAGACTTGCCCAAGTATCAAAATACGCAATCAACTTTCTACGTTCATGATCTTGAATAATTTTGAAAGCTAAAGCACTATCCAGTTGTGATAGCATAAATTGGGTAGAGTTTTCTGCATTGTAAACAAAATTATTAGTAATAGATTTGGGAATATCCATAATAACAGCCTGAAATTTTTTACGCTCTTTATGCTGCTTCAGAGTCTAAGATGCAGTAAACCATCATACAGGCATTCCTCTAAATGGAGCAGTCCAAACTCCATTATTCCAATTCGTCAAAGCCCACTTGTTGAAGTCAATAAACACAGTCACAGTCAAATACTTCTTTTGTGTCTTTACTTTGAATGCAATTACCTGACCCCATTTTCCTAGGTTTGTAAGGATATCAAGTTGTGGCATGGTGGAGGGAATATCATAAATAACTATCTCATGAACATTAATAGAAATATTTTAATATTTGTATTAATAACAATATGATATATAAATATATTAATTAATTGAAAATTAGATTTAAAATATTTAATTGATTTAAATAAATATTATTAAATAAAAATCTTTTTTTTATACAATGCCACAAAATTTAAAGCAGTATAATTATCTTAAAAAAGCATGTTTAATTCATTTAAATTAAAAAAATTTAGTATTTAGTAAAATTAATATCAATGAAAATTCATTAGAAGATATAAATATTGATGAATATCAAAATTTTAATCAGCAAATATTAATAGATCAAATTATAAATCTAACTTGCAAACTATCTAACCAAAATGCTTGAAACGGCAGGTTCATTATATCCAATGGCGATTGTCACTGGTCGAAATCAAAAAAATCGGACATATGGAAAATCGGCCAAAAATCAGACCAAAATTGGCTAACATTATAAATCGGCACATCTGATTGATGCCAATCAGACAATTCGATAAAAATTCAGCAAAAAATCATCATATTTGATTAACGGCTGATTGATGCTAGTTGAAATCAAAAAAAAAAATGGACAAATGGCAAATCAACCTAAAATTTGCC